AGAGAGCACCTAGTCTGAAATGAGACACAAGTAAATAAGGGAGGGAGTAAAAGAAGGATGGGAAGAAAAAGAGATAGCAATGTTTTGTAGTAATTTGCAACATGTAATTTTGAATCTTAATGTCTCAATTTTCTAGGGCATGAGGTTATTTCATTCTCAGTAACCCACTCAAGAGTTTCTCCTAAGAGGAACAAGTTATCAGAGGTCCCTTTCCCCCATATTTCCTGAAAAACTGATTGCTAGACCCTCCCATGAACCAGGGACTTTTCCAGAAAGATTTAGCAAGGCCATATTATAAGAAAATGTGGTCTTTGGAGCCTAGAGATGTCAGATAACTTCCTGCAAAACTAATACATTTATTTGGGATATAATATGCAAGCTCAGTACAGTCATTACAGAGAGTGCTCAGACTTGATTTCATTTTCTTTCCAACAGAAAAGAAGGAAGGAAACAACTTCTTTTCAAATACCTGAAAGTCAGCCGGGGGACACCTCTCTGTTTCTTTCTTCAATTTATTCTTCAAAATACACAGCAAAACAAAGAAATAAACTTCAAACATACTATTACCATGTAGTCAGCCTTCAAGAAAGTAAAACAAGATTGCTGTATTCTGGATGATATCTATTCAAACCATTATTATTATTATTTTTATAACACCCATCTCTTCTCAATCCTCAGAACCACTATCTCCCTTGTGACAGCAGGATCATTATACTACTCTCTTACCTAGTACCCTCTCTTCAGTCTTACCATTCTGGATTCCATTTTCCAGAGATGTTGAGAAAGCCTGACTTTGTTGTCTTCACCTTGCTTTTGTCTATACGCTACATGTTTTCTCCTGCTTCTAAGTCTTCATGAAATCTTGCCCTCCCTGACTGAACACTTCCCATCCCTAACCAGCTAGTAATCTCTTTCTCTTCAAGGAGTCAGCTCAAGAGTGACTTTCCCTGTGGGGGAGCCATCCATTTTGGTTTTCTCCAGGCTGAATTAGGTGTTCTTTCATGTTCTCATGACACTCTCTGCATCCTTCTACCCTAGAAACTCACAGAGTGGTTCTATAATAATAACACTTCTAATTCTCTGGTGCACTGTGAGATCATTGAGGCTAGACTATGTCTTATTGATCTTTATGCCTCCAGCTCTTAACTAAACTCCTGGGCACATAGAGAATACTAAGAAATATTTCATGAAATGGATTCATAAAGTTATTATAGGCTCCAAAAAGTATAGTCTGGCATTAGGAGTAAGAATATAAAATCTGGGACAGCCCATGTAATCTGAGATCTTTGAACAACCTAACTACAACCACTGAGAGGAAAAAAAAAATCTGGTTTTGAGTTTTATTTTCTTTTTCTTTCTCATTTTTAATATATTCAGGTTAGTCGGAGAGCTAAAAGTGACAGAAAAAAGTATAAGATGGGTAGTTAAACAGAATTACTCAGACTATTGTGAGCTACATTTCTCTTTTTTTAAAATAATCACTTAGAGGAATTGATATGTAAAGCAAATAATATTCACACCATTAGATCACATAGTTTTAAATTATATTCAACAAATATTTTCAGATCCCTTCTATATACCAGACACTGTTCTAAAAATATCAATTCATTTAATTCTGATAACAACCTTAAGAGGTCATCATTAGACAAATTTGGAACTTTTTTTAATTGTCATGCGATATTAGGCTGACTCCTTTTCTGTACATCCAACAGAAAGATTTTGAATTGAAGAAAACAATACCTACAGAACTAAAAATTATTTTCAAATGCCCTAAAAGATCTTAAGAGATATAAAGAAGGATATCACATCAAAATGAGTACTGTAATATTTATTATCTCTAACATGTTTACAAAACATAAAATAATAATTTGAAGATTTGAGTGACTTTTTGTATGGCAATAGAGTACCATGTATTTAAAATAAAGTGCCTGACAAATTATGGACAGAAAGAAATGGAATACTTTTCAAGATCAATCCAGGCTTGTCGCAACATAAAGCAATATCAGAACAAAATCTTGAAACTATTCTCGTTTCTCCTTATTTATACTTTTAGTAAAGAGTGATGATTAATTGCAGGTAGAAGACTTAAAAAGAACAGATTGAAGTAGAAACAAGTTGAAGTGCCACACACAGAAAAAACCCTAATGGCACTGAATATTTAGAAAACAGCATATGGGGTCCATATTTGTGGATTGTCAATGGCAAGAAATTTGAAGATGTTAATGAATATAGATTGCAACTAAAGTAGCCACAACCTTTCCCATTTTTAAAAGAATCATACATGGAAGAGGAAAAAACAGACATTAATAAATCAGAGGGACACATTATACCACAGGATAAAGTTAGCAGATTTGTATCAGTGAACTTGAATGAAGCCACAGAAGGCCTACTTGTCAAATTTACTGATGACAAGAGGTCTGGTGAAATGGCTAATGCTTTGGATAATAGCAGCAGCATTTAAGATCTGGTTAAACCCCAAATTAACAAAATTAAATTAATACATGCATACATCATGTAGGTATCCTACTTAGCTGTCACCTCTTCACACAGGCCTTTTTGACCATCTGTTTCTAACATGGCCTTTGGGATTCTCCACTCACCATCACTTCACCCTATTTTGTTTTCATCATAACATTTATCCCTTCCTATTATTTTCTTATGTATTCATTAGTTAATTAGTTCACTTTCTAACTTCCCTAGAAAGTAAAGTTCATGAAAATGGTAACCTTGCTTAACTTATATCACTGAGAGTAGAATAGAAACACTAAGTAAATATTTGTCAAAGAAATCAAAGGCCTATTTATTTTCTTCTCTTAAAAAATGACTAATGCTTGGGGCACCTGGGTGGCTCAATTGGTTAGGCGTCTGCCTTTGGCTCAGGTCGTGATCTCAGGGTCCTGGGATGGAGCCCCCGCTCAGTGGGGAGCCTACTTCTCCCTCACCCTCTCCCTCTGCCCCTCCCCCCATTCATGCTCTCTTTCTCTCTTGCTCTCTCTGTCAAATAAATAAATAAAATCTTTAACAAAAATGACTAGTGCAGATGGGAAAACTATAACAATAGTATTTCTTGTGAAATATGACATCTGTAAAATAATAGAAACCCCAAGCTGGGATCAAAAGAACTGGATGGTCTTGCCACAGATTAGTCACTTGACCTTTGGTAAATCATTTAATTTCTCCAGAACAGTTTCCTCATCTATAAAACAGGGCTAATCATGTCAACCCCTCAGCAGTTTTAAAACAATGTGTATGAAAAAAATTTCCAACTATAAAGTACAAAACAACTGTGAAGAATTATGCCTACAGTAGGAGTTAGGGGGATTGACTTAACACTCAGTATCAACCAACAGTCTTGTGACATTTGAAAAAAAGGAATTAGATACAGACATTGGTTGCATCTACATGATAATGTACATTTTGTACCAGCAAGACCCAAACCAAATTACTGTATATCCTCCTAGTTCCATATTATGCAAGACATTGAGAATTGTCTAAAGGAAGACCACATGAGTAGAGGTTTGGGGAAAGTGTCATTGAAAAGCAATGGAATTAATTAGGGAAAAAGTAGAGGAAAGGGAAGGAGACTGTGATACTTATTTTAAATATATGAAGGGTTGTCATGTGGAAGATTTATTCCATGTAGCACCAAGAGGCAAACTAGGTATTGAGGGTAGAAGGCTAAGAAAATTATATGTTGGTTTAAGACCTTATTTTAATGTAAGGAACAGTTTCAGAGCGGCCCCATGATGGTGGAAGTCATAAGTTAAGGTGGTCCATCCAAACTAGGTGGGGAAACATCAGCAGTGTTATTAGAGGGCTTCTAATATTAACCGAAGTTGAGGCTAGGTGATGTTGGAGGCCCTTCCCATATCCAGAATTATAATCAAATGCAATATTCCTATCATGGATATTGAGAATTAAAGGATCCTGAACTCACACTGTGATGAATTCCAAAATATTCTTCTTAGAGACGAAATCAATTTCATTAGAGAGTGGCAGGTGACATCAGTCCTGAGTCAGTAAGAAGAAAGACCAGTGGGGTGTGGTATTCACCAGAGAGCACTTCTGCTTGTACCACAACATCCTCCTAAGGATCTATTTAACATGTGGATGTCTCCTTTGCTTGACAACATTAACTATTAGCACATTTATGACCCTTGTGTCCTTCAAGCTTTTGCTGCCGTGTTTCTTATGACACTTGGTTTTGCAAGTACAAATTCCAGCTAAATATATCCTTCAATTCAAAAATGGTCTCATTCCCCAGTTTGGAAAAGGGGGAGTGGAGGCGATATCTTCAAGATTCAGCAAGTGCTAAGTTGGCAAAGCCAAACAAACATGAAAAGGTTTGTCTGAAATGACTTTTGCATAGTCCTGCTTGAGGAACACAGTGGCTCCTCTTCGTTACTTAAATGTTGACATTAAAAAGACAAGTACATCAACAAATCCTGTATTAACCATGGGTGAACATGCTTGTCATGTCCGTAGCATACACATGTCTGTGTATGGGTTACGGAAATTGCACGTGAGAAATGGAGGAGAAAAGTAGAAAAGCGGGAGATTTAACCCACGGAGAAATAGGTTAAAATAATTTTTGACTCCCCCACCCCTTCCCACCCTCCTTCAGCTTCAGCTCTCCCTCAGCGCGGGCGGAGGCTGTGAGCTGCGGACTCAGTGCTGGAATGAGGAGTAATTGAGCCCGAGCCGAGCCCGAGGTAGCTTTCTCCCCCCGGTGTCATTGCTGCAGCCTCCAGTGCCAGGTCCCTAGCTCCTCAGCCGCCTCTCTTCACGGTGCAAAATCGTCTGCAAAGACAGTGAAGCCGCCGCAGAAGTTGCCCTGCATGAGACTCCGGAGGCATTGGCTCAGTAACTTTTCACGTCATTTTCTGCTCTGGAGCCCCTTCTCGCGTCTCCGCGCAGCCTTTAGCACCACAAATCACAGTGCTCATGGGGCAGGCGAAGAGCGGCTTACGGCACTGAGTGGAACCGGACTCGAGCCCGTGATGTCCGGTACCAAATTGGAGGACTCCCCCCCTTGTCGCAACTGGTCATCTGCTTCGGAGCTGAATGAAACTCAAGAGCCCTTTTTAAACCCCACCGACTATGACGACGAGGAATTCCTGCGGTACCTGTGGAGGGAATACCTACACCCAAAAGAATATGAGTGGGTCCTGATCGCTGGGTACATCATCGTGTTCGTGGTGGCTCTTATTGGGAATGTCCTGGGTGAGTCTGGTCCCGGGCAGCCCTCCAGAGGGCTGTCACGTCCCCTCCGCCCCGGGCTGCAAAGGCTCTGAAGACCCCTCCCTCCCCCTGGGATGCAAACAAAGAGGTCGCTGCCCTCGGGGTGGGGTTTTCTGTTAAAAAAAAAAAAAAAAGTTTTCTGATTTTCGGAACCAGGACCGAGCCCTGGAATGGTAATTCCTTTTTCTGCAGGGAGAAGCGGGGAAGCGCGTTTCTTTTGCAATCACCACGGTTACAGGCGGCGAGAGGGAGGCAACGAACGACAGGGTCTCCAGGTGGATTTTGTTGAGTGTGGGGAAATTGGTCATCCTTTTTTTGTAATGTAGCCAGGGATTTTGGGGACTTTCTGGAGAGCGAGAGCTGGGAGACGACAAAGCTGTGCTCCTAAGGAGCAAGCTCTCTGTGGCCACTGAAGTCACAAAGGATTTGTGAGGTAGGCAGAGTGCCCTTTGGCGAGGAGGTTAGGCTCTGTCTAGAGGTGGTAATGAAACGGCAGGGAGTGGAAACAGGCGAAGCACGGAGGTGCACTCATGCACTGAAGCTGAATTAAACAGGAACCATGCCAGGAGCCAGCAAGAGGGAGGGGCACCTGAGAAAAGTACCAAAGAGATCTCAATCATTCATCCGCCTATCCACTCATTCATTCATCCACTCAACCAATATTTTTTTTCCAGAGCATGCTTGTTGCCAGGCTTGAGGAAATTTTGTAATGGATTTTTTTTTTTTTTTTTTTTTTTGCCCAAAGACAAGACCAAGCTAAACGCTAGGCTCCCTATTTGTCCCTGAGTTTGTATGCAAAGGTAGATTTCCCTGTCCGTTTCCCAGCTCGGCACAATTTCTGAGTGTTGGGGAGGGGGTGCAGTGCGGTATGGGGCTGTGGTGATGGAGTTTATTAGGGCAGCTGGGGAATCCACTTAATCCACTGGGGAATCCACTTAAGGAAAAGGAGCTCTAGAAGGGAGGGACGACTTAATATGAATTGTGAATGGAAGGAGCGTGTACCTTGATGAATGGAGAGTGGGAGGCGTTTCAAATGCAGAGGGCAGTGTGGAGGCAATCTCTGTTGAAAATGACAGGAGGAGATGGGGGAGGCTAGGAGAAGATGCTCTTGATTTTCAGTTACAAAAAGGGAAGATGGGTGAGGTGAGATAGGCTGAGTGGCTCTGAAGTCCAAAGCAAAGAATTTGTAGCTGCAATGGAGGATGATAAGGAACTTATCAGCACTAATCTGATTTTTACCTTCTCTCCCCAAGTATGTCAGTCTGGGTAGGAAGCATTCAAAGTAGTCTGTCACCAATTCAGCAGGCAGAGTAGTTGGTAGTCTATGACTGAGAAGCATTCTGGAGAGAGTTGGTAGAATATTATTTTTTTAAGAGAGATACAAATCCTTTGAAAACTTTTTTTTTAAATAATACTATATTATTTCCAGGCTATTTTTGTTGTTGTTTTAAAGGTAAACATAAAGGGAATCTTTGGGTGATGCAAACAAGGTGGATGAAGGTGAAAATACACATGCTTAGGGTCCTTTGCTATAAGGATAAGTCTGCTAATAATAATGACTTTCTTGTTTCCCTTCCTGGCATCCATTCTTAGAGTTACAACTATTAAAACACATGGCTGCCAGCATAGAAACATATCACTGTTATGCCCACACTTAATGATAAGTAATCTAAACTGAACACCCATTGAGTACCTACCTTGTGCCAGACTCCTTCACATACACTCTCATTTAAACCTCAAAGTAACCCACGTTTGACAGAAGAAGAAACAAGACTTAGAGAAATGAAATGGCTTATTAAAGAACATGATTCAGATTCAGGTCCATTTCTTCTGACCTCAGATCCAAAATTCTCCATTGATATTCCACTCTAGAGCTAGAAAGCATAGAGAGAATGAATTCTTTGCTCCTTGTTGTCTGCAAGCCTATTAAATGTATTTCCTGTTCTCTCTTGCATCTATGCCCACTGTTAATAAATTACCATGAAGGGTTAATGGCTCTGTCATTGTCTCCAACAAAATCCTATCCAGAGAGGAATGTTATTGCATTGCAGTAAAAATTTGACCTGTTTTGCAGGAATAGCTGCAAATCATAACTATTTCCCTTCCCTAATTTTTATTTCAGCCTTAATCTCTGTGATAAAATTTGTTTCCCTTTGCTGTTACTTTATTCTGGCCTTACACAGAATGTTGATGCATAGTCTTCATATTCTAACTGCATAGTTTAGGGGTACGTGTTTGCAAGCCTAGGGAGTGTTTTAGTCTCAAGAAGGAAACACCTCTACAGTAAGACTACGTGTTTCATAATGTCAAGGAAAAGAGCACTGTCCACAGCCCCAAGTGCTGAAATGGCCAATTCCATTCAGCTTAAAAAGAAAAATTTACTCAAAGCACTGTGCTCTCAAGATACTGACAGCTATTTTCTCTGGGACTAAATGACATTGAAATCCTCTCTGGCTGAACTGAACCCCATTCTTTACTGACATATTCCCTGAAAGTTGATGAAGTTTAAGTTTGACATTTAAACAAATGATCAGTGTGTCATTACTCACAGACAACTTCCTGCTCTTTGATATCACTGTCAAATTTGCAAAACGGATTAGATTGAGAATTGCTTTTTTGCCCCTTGAGTAAAAGTAATTTTATGCATAGAGTGGCAGGACAAGGAATCACATTATTCATGCAAAACAAAGAGGCAACTATTAGGTATGAAGGTGAAAGACCACAGTGTAGGCAGCAGATGTAATCCCTGACCCTTTGGGTCCACCCACCATTTGCACTTTCATGTAACTGACTACTTAGAAAATTTCAACCTTGTTGAACTTTCAGATATAATGTGATCAGTTAGAAGTCATTTCCGCCACAATGTCCTTTTGTGAAGTGATGTAACAGGATATGCCCTGAGCAGAATGACAGAGTCTAGATCATCTCCACCTCTTTTTCTTCTCTCCACAGTTCCTCTCTCTCATCGTGTCCCTTCTCCCATTTGTATCATATGTTTCTTCCCAGTGATGAAAAGCAGTTTTCTGGGGAAAAAAAAATGCAACACAAGTCATTGAAAATAAGACAAAAGTGACCCTACATTAAATTTCATGAGTATATGCATTCTAATAAAAGACATATGCATGTCTACTTATAGAATTTTTGGTCATAGGAAGGAAGATAGGGTAGAGTTCTTTTTGGACACAGTGTTTTTCCAGTATCTTCAAAATTATGCCACATATAACCTATTCCTAAGTATGTCTTGTACTATAGCCAAATAGATGCATTCAATTATTTGACCAGTACATTTTGAGCAATATTATGTTTTTAAAATTAATGTGTGTTGGGGGGAGGGCTCATGGGGACACTCAGAGGAATATATTTGGTGTTATTCCTACTTCTTTTTCCTTGAGTTGAAACTGGATGGAGTGATGGGTTCTAGTCAATTCAAACATTAAATAGCTGGAAGAAATGAGTAAGTCTCTGCCTGTCTTACTCCTGCATTCAAAGATATCATGATTTTTTTTTTTTTAACCTGGAATGCTTCTATCTTCCCTGTTGTTGTCTCCATATGAAAAATGAGAACATTCAACAAATGTCATCAGTCCAGGTGTGCTTCTTGCTTCTTGTGTGACCATTAGTATGTTATTGAACTCTCCAAGTCTGTTTTTTCTATTTGAAAATTAAGATAGATAATGCGGGCCTTGTAGAAATATGTAATATAATATACACAGAAGTACACACACACACGTGTGTGTGTGTGTGTATTTTTCTTGACACATAGTAGACACTGAATGCCAATTTCTATCCCTTCATTCCCACTACTGAAATCTTTCCCTGATGTAGTTTGCAGCCATCTTCTGCCTCCATGGCCAGTCTGCAGCTCTGTAGTTCTTTACGACCTCTGTTCTGCCTTTTTCTCAATTGAGAGGTTTCCTAAAAGTTATTAGTAAAATGGAGTTGGCACATGTTGCTTTCCTTTTCCATACCAGCTCCACCCACTCATCCCCTAACAGGTGTTTATTGCCTTCATACTAACTACTTAACATTGCCTTCCCAGCTCTCCGTGAAAGTCATTGCTAAGAGGATAATATTCTCTTTCAGCTTAAATTTGCTTGCACTGGGTCCCACTTACTCAGAATTGTGGGTTGTTGTTGGGTTGTGTTTGGTCTGTCACTATTAATGTTTTAAATAGCATGTGTGCACACACACATACGCGGGTAATATGTTGATTTCACTCAGTTGAAGTACACTGCCTGTTAAGGAATTTACCCGGTAACATTTAAACTAAATTGGGTGAATGAGATGGGAAAAATATCTGTAATGGGTTGCGTCTTGCAGAGCTAATCATATGTCCCAGATATGGAACTGGCAGAGTTTCAAGTCGCTACTACTTCTAAGCCTAAGAAACATTTATTTCCTCCTTCTCCTAATGACCAATTCACATCCGTTGGTGTTTCTAAACCCACCCTTTCCTACACAGGAGACAGAAAGAGGTTAGAGATAATACATTACTCATTTCTGCCAAGACCTGATAGAAGTCATGAATGATGACTGTAAAAGGTAATATTAGCCATTGAGCTTTAAACTGGTGTGTTTTTAGTTACAGAATGTAAAATATGCTTATCTCAATAAGAATTAAACTGATGCCATCACACTTTGACTAAAAGCATAACCACCTAGTTTTACTGGGTAAAATAAACCAGTTTTTGATTTGAACAGAATCTCAGGGATAACTTTTTAAATGGCTGTCTCATAGAAAACAGCAACATTTATCATTTACAGACAATAATTAAATAGTACAAGCTACTGATAATTTAAATGTAATGGATTCTTCCTATATTTGGAAAAAAATTAGGAAAATGAAATAATGAAAATAATACCAATTTTCAAAAGAGGCCAAATCCAATACTTATATACAAATACAGTATTCAAGTCTTTAAATTTTTTTATTGATTTCATTAGGACATACATATATATTTACATCAATTATCATCATTTTA